ACATCTCGTCATCGAAGCTGTACAATATGACTTCGCCATGGACATTTTCAGTTTGGGGAATCGATGTGATTGGGGCTGTCACTCCGAAGGGGTCCAATGGACATGAGTTCATTCTGGTCGTGATAGACTATTTCACAAAGTGGGTTGAGGCCCAATCTTATGCGGTGTTGAAGGCGTCGCACGTTGCGAAGTTTATCAGGAACAACATCATCTGTCGCTATGGGGTCCTGTAGACGTCCCCGAACGCTCCCGGGAGGGTTAGCTCCCGTTCCGTTCATTTGGGGTCACTACAGCTCGGACTCTTGAATGTCACGGTTCCTAATCTGAACCAAAGAGTCCAAATCCGGCAAATCGTTTTGAGAAACAGATATTTTATATATCTCCAAAAAATGAGGTGAAAGGCAAATTTTTTTAACAAAATTGTCTTTTTGTTTAATATATACTGCAACATTTTCTGGATTTTGTTTTGTTTTGTTTAGAATTAAGAGAATACATATGCTTGGATTGGAGAAATGGAAAGTGAGAATCTTACTCCATACCTTCATAAATCTATGGTGTAGGTGCATCATCAAGTTACTCCCAACCAAGCCAAGTGAGAATCTCATTCTCATACTCTATGGGAATCTCACGTTCCTAAATTATTTATGAACATAGAGGAAAGCTACGCCGGCAATTTTTACAAATCATTGTGAAGTATGGCTCCTTACCCATGTCCTCCCAGCAAAAAGGTAGGAAATTTTCTTCTTTTCCCGCTATAGTTTTCCTCACAAGAACTGTTAAACCCTCCCCCAACCCTTACTTTCTAGCTGCTGCCTTTTCTCCTAAGCCTAATTGGCATTCTAATTTTCTTTCCTCTATTTTAGAAGGATATACAAGATTCAAAAACTGAGAAAGAAGATGAGAACATCTGCTAACAACTCATTTATACCCTCCGAATACAGCAGATGGCAGTAGGATGTTAGCCTGTAGGATGAAAGCTTATAACCTAACTAAAAAAAACCTTTGTAGCAATCTTGTGTCCCAATCAACTAGGATGATTACATGAATTATTTTTTTGTCATTCACTCTGTCAAGAGCTGTATGCTTGGTTAAATGAAATAAATTCATACTTGTTTTTTTTTTTAATTACTGCAACCCAGATCAATTTAGGTTTTCCCCTACCCCTATGTTTGTTTGGGTGGACATGAGCTTGGGATTGGACTAATAGTCTAATAAAATTATTAATCCGATGTTTGGTTAAACAATTAAAGTACGGACTAATTATTTTAAACTTGACTATTAGTTAAGATAGGATACATAATCTAACGGATTCGTAATCCTAAAATTATTAGTCATGGGAATACTAATCCAGTCCACCCAAACAAACATGTCCCAAGGGGCATACCCCAGGCCCTACCACAAATGTACAACGCTACCTGAGCAAAACCAAAACTACAAGAAAACTAACACCAAAAAACAAACCACTAAACAAGACGACACCACTACATAATAATAGACAACAATATACCAAAAAGTGTAGTCAATGGCAACAACATATTTTTTCAAGAGCCATGTCCACAGAGGATAGGGGACTTGAACAGCAGAATACCACCAGCACGCTATACCAAACAGTGGCAGCAGGAGTCCTGGGCAGTAACACATATCCAACAGCAAAGGGTTAATCACCTGAGCATCATTCTGCGTTTTGCTGCAACAGAGAGCAGGAAAGGGGCATAGCAATGTATTTGCACAGATATATGCATGTCTCGACCCTCGTGCCACCAATCACGCATACCGAGGCATGATGGCAGAGGAGTCGAAATGCACAACTCAATATAGGATGAATGCACATGAAACTACAGCAAAAACCTAACTCCATCATGGATAATCCGGAGTGTCGGTGACTGGGGAATTGAGACACATTCCGTTACTCGGAATACGAAATGTACCTCGTTTCCCGAGCCCGGGCTAACTCCTATTCCGGACACGATGCGATATGCATGATATGCATGAAATGCAACTAAGATATAATCCTAACATACACAGAATGCTATGGAAATGAGATGCCTCGAAATGCGTGCACACGGGCACACAAACCGAGGCGATGATATGTGTCTCGAAATACGCGCACGCGGGCACGCAAACCGAGACGATAATATGTGTCTCAAAATACGTGCATGCGGGCACGCAAACCGAGGCGATGATATGTGTCTCAAAATACGTGCATGCGGGCACGCAAACCGAGGCGATGATATGTGTCTCGAAATACGCGCACGCGGGCACGCAAACCGAGGCGATGATATGATGTGTCTCGAAATACGTGCATGCGGGCACGCAAACCGAGGCGATGATATGATGTGTCTCGAAATACGTGCATGCGGCCACGCGAACCGAGGCGATGATATGATGTGTAAATGAGGTGCCTCGAAATGCGTGCACACGGGCACACAAACCGAGGTAATGATGAAATGCTGTGAAATGACATGAAATGGACAAATGGGCTTATACCAACATGAGTGAGCCTCAGCCACAATCACATAGGATGCCGTCGGATAAAAATGAAGTGCCTCGAAATGCGTGCACACGGGCACGCAAACCGAGGCAATGGCAAAATACGATGAAATGACATGGAAATGGACAAATGGGCTTATACCAACATGACTGAGCCTCAGCCACACTCACATAAGATGCCGTCGGATAAAAATGAAGTCCCTCGAAATGCGTGCACACGGGCACGCAAACCGAGGCAATGGCAAAATGCGATGTAATGACATGAAATGGACAAATGGGCTTATACCAACATGAGTGAGCCTCAGCCACACTCACATAGGATCCCGTCGGATAAAAATGAAGTGCCTCGAAATGCGTGCACACGGGCACGCGAACCGAGGCAGTGGCAAAATGCGATGTAATGACATGAAATAGACAAATGGGCTTATACCAACATGAGTGAGCCTCAGCCACACTCACATAGGATGCCGTCGGATAAAAATGAAGTGCCTCGAAATGCGTGCACACGTGCACGCGAACCGAGGCAATGGCAAAATGCGATGTAATGACATGAAATGGACAAATGAGCTTATACCAACATGGGTGAGCCTCAGCCACACTCACATAGGATGCTGTCGGATAAAAATGAAGTGCCTCGAAATGCGAGCACACGGGCACGCAAACCGAGGGAATGGCAAAATGCGATGTAATGACATGAAATGGACAAATGGGCTTATACCAACATGAATGAGCCTCAGCCACACTCACATAGGATGCCGTCGGATAAAAATGAAGTGCCTCGAAATGCGTGCACACGGGCACGCGAACCGAGGCAATGGCAAAGTGCGATGTAATGACATGAAATGGACAAATGGGCTTATACCAACATGAGTGAGCCTCAGCCACACTCACATAGGATGCCGTCGGATAAAAATGAAGTGCCTCGAAATGCGTGGACACGGGCACGCAAACCGAGGCAATGGCAAAATGCGATGTAATGACATGAAAATGATAGCAATCGTTCTAATGGAATTTCAGCAGTAAAATATGGGGGAGAACAGTCCCGAAATGAAGCGAAAAGACACCAAATGCATGAAATTGTCCCGAAATGCAACATTAGGCACCCGAAATGGCCTATAGCTATGCTAAACATGCACAATATGGACATGCAATGCAAAGACAGAAGCTAGTCAGTCCCAAAATATGCACTTTCACAGTTATAAACATGGCCAAACAGCAAGCATAGGTAGGGGAAAAATGGCATGCAAGAATAGGGGCCAAAAGAGGGGTAATGAAGCAAGTGATATAAGAAAAACCCAAAATTAAAAATTTCCTTCTACAACACTGAAGATGGACCAAAAATATGAACATTTACAGTATATGGCAGCCTCAAAATCAGTATACAAACATGCTAAAAATGTGATGCAAAATGAGGCTCAAAAGGTGCTAAAACATGAAGTATACAAAATAATCACCAAACAGAAAAAAAGTGTGAATGAAACATGAAGTATAGGCCAAAATAAGACCACTTTCAGTTCGGACCAAGGTCCAAAAACAGAAGCAAAGAGGGCTACCAATTTATGCAAAAATGGAGCCAAACAAGGGATATAACTACAAGTGATACATGGAAACACCAAACAATGTTGAGCCCTTCTCCAATGTTGAAGAGGGGCTCAAAATAAGCCTGAGGCAAGGGAAGGCGGCGACCGACGAGGTCCCTTTCGTCTTCATTTTGATTTGTTACTGATATATATATATATATATATGATTTCTTGCCATGGTTTGATTTGTTGTTGATTTGTTAAATGGGTTTGATTAATTAAGTTTTATGGGTTTGAAGATTTAGGGTTTGTTGTGGATTTTTTTTCATCATCATTCTCATTTGTTCCTATTATATATATATGATTTCCTGGGTCAAAATTGTTTGTTTGTATTATTCTTTTTGCTGTGGATGTTATTAATTAGGTGATATGTGTATGCTATTTATGAAACTGAAGATGAGTTTATTATGGGTCTTGTTTCTGATTGTTTTGTCATCCAATTTTGTCTCTATGCTGTCAAAAATCAGAACATAACAATTCATCAGGGCGAAAATTTTCCTTGCTATAGATTATTTTTTTAAATCAATTTTGATCAATATCCTCTTGACAAGTAAATATTATAGGGAAAATATTGGTTATTTTTGTTCTTTCTGTACTTGTTGCGTTCGTATGGATCTGCATTGTAATGTGAAGAGTGGCTGGAACAAGGGCATCAAACGTTTTGCTCATAAAATTAAGTTATTTTAGGAACTTATAGTATTGTTATACTAAATATAGGATGAGAGGTCTTGATTAGTTGTCTTTGCTCTTAAATTAAGTTCTTGGTAGGAACTTTAAAGTATTGTTTTACTAAATTATATGAGAGGTCTTGATTTGCAGTGATAGACAATTACTTATTGGAGCTGAGACTGTTGATATGAAAAAATGGCCAATATTGCTGCTTATTCATTGAGTGTTACTCATGATTGAGAAGCTTTGAACTGTAGTTTTGAGAAAATATTTATTGAATTTGGATTACATGGGGGCGAAAAATTTAAATTTGGAACTACGTAGTAAAAAAATTTCAACAGCATACTTCTCACAATAATGGACTGACTCTATGAGCAATGACTACAAAATGCACCGCTGATGATGGAGATTGCCGTAAACTGAGGTTCTCCTGAAACCTAAGAGTCTGTGAGCCTTGCTCTTGACCTTAGATACGATTAGAATCAATAGCAATGCTTTCTTCTTCTTGTTCTTCTTTAAGAAATTAATTGACGCGAACAATAAATCTCATAACCTCTGATTGAGAAAGCTTTGAAGTTGTTATGATAATATAATTTTTGCATTTTTCAATTGAGGATACCCTGAACTCATATTTGATTGAAGTTAGTTAGTTAATCAATTAGGGAAATGTGATATTAATTTTACCATTTATATAAAACGCATCTAAATAAAGTTTTAAGAGTGTAATGCATTCACAAAATTAAAAGATGTAGAAAGTGATGATGATGTGACTCAAAGCCAAGATCATTTTCAATGAATCTGAAAGTTGAAGCAACAATTTCATTAAATATTTTTTACTGTCAAAGATGATCAGCATATGCTACTAGATGATTCTGTTGCTTTAAAGTCATTTCCAAGTAAAGTCGTTTCCAAGATAACCAAACACATTATTGTCTCTCTGCGTCGCATCTTAATTGGACATTTCAAACTGTAGACCTATTAACAATGAGAATAAAGGCATTTTAATAATGATTAGGTTAGGTGTACGACGAGTATGTGGAAAAACATGAACTCATTGATTAACTCCAATTTTAGGGTTTTAGTTTCCTTAAGAAGGTAGTACAACTAAATGCATTAGTTAACTATTTTGTGTTGTTGAATTAAAACTGCTTCAATTCTTAGGCTCTTGTGGATGAATTTGAGTTTTCTCTATTGGAAATTCTACAAGAGCTTGAATTGGTTCCCACATCTAGAGAACTTGGATTGAATGGTAGTAAAATTTTCTTAATGCCATACATTTTGGATTTTTAGTTAATTAATTAATTTATTTCTCCGAGGTTTGAGTGCTTTAATTGAGAGTCATGAAAGGTGTTTCGTCACTGACAAGAGTCTACACTTGTACATCAGCTATATTGTGTAAACATAGCGGCATACATCCTGCAACCCTGTCAATTAAATGGAAAGAGGTTAAAGAACTTGAAAGCAGAATTTCCTGATAATAATAAGGTTTCTCATTTTTTGTACCTATAAATTTGTAGGAAGAAACTTTCCTAGAGATAAAACTACTATTCTGCATGGGTGGATGAATTTTATATGGATATATTTCATATGAATAACTCATGGATGTGGTAGTAGAAGAGTTCTTCTATTTTTCCCTGTGGTAGTTTTGCACTAAATAGTATTTTATGATAAATCCCCAGCAGAGGAAAATTGGATTGTGTGCACAAAGGATTGAATCTGCTCTCAATTTCAAACTATATACTAGAACAGTAATGAGTGATCTTTATTGATCTCAATGATATGGAAACTTCCAAGGTTACAATTTCAGGAATGACAGAGTCATAACTTTCATCTTCTGCAAGGTATTAAACTGGTGTATTATGATTGAAACTTGTTTAGAAGTGATAATCTTGCCTTAAAGATGGATAGTGGTGGTATGCAAAATGAGAACATAATTTGGAATCTAATGTGCCTTGTTAAGGAGTTGTTTTAGTTCTTTCAATTATCCGATTTCACTTTTTTTGAATGCCAAAGTCAGTATTTGGTGGCAGATACTTGAGCATATTCTGAGACACTGATTAAGAACTTGAGTCTTGCAGATCACTTGGTGTTCTCAAGCTCTATGGTGCTCATGTTTTTGTCATGACATTAGAGCCATATAATATTTTCTCATTCTGCCTAATCACAAATCTGTCATATAAATCCACGAAAGCAGTTCCTGAAACCTGAATATAAACAGAACTTTATGCAGACTACTATATTATGTTTAGGTTCTTAATTGATTTTTTGGGAGCTAAATATAATGAATTTCGTGGAATTACAGTTCTTCATTCCACTGGGTTTTGCTTATGTACTGTTTGAACATATGATTCCTCTTCCCTTCAGAACTGGTCAATGAATAAATAAAAAAAAAAAAGAGAAGTTTATTCTCATTTTTTTCAGTACACATGAGATTGAATACTAAAATTTGGTCAGAAAGAATTTATGCACCCATTTCTCTGGAAATAAATCTAGTTCTCCGGTGTTTTACAGTTAAGTTGCCTAAATGATCAAATAGTGGACTGCTATTTGGGAGGAAATATTAGGATATCCAACTTCCCACTACTTTTCTTTTTGTCATTCTATGTCAGGCTTTTTGGGATCTTTAGTTGACATGGTGGAATTATGAATCATTTTGTAAAAATAAATCTGCAAAAAATTCTTGTGTCAACAGAAAACACCAAGCACGATGCAGGCTTCTTGACGCTTCACATGATGATTAGCCGATCTTTTTACAAGTCCTGATGAACTTTGCTTCATGCTTGGGAGCCATTTTAATATTTGTCAAAATAATATATTCTATGGATTATAAAACCTAAATTCTTGCAAGAATATAAGTAACCATCAATACGCTTACAAGGCTTCAAAAATTTCCATTTACTAATTTCTTTGAGCAACTGTCGTGGTCATAAAACGACTGCATTATATTATTTTAAGACTTATTTTGATACATAAACATGTTCTACATTCAAAACGAAAGTTTTTTTAAATGAACCAACCCGAGATCCCCTACCCCCAAAAAGTAAGGGGAAAGGGTATGGGACTAAAGCCAAGGCCTTTTTCCTTCCATCAAGAATACAAGTAACCATCAATACGCTTATAAGGTTTCAAAAATTTTCATTTGCTAATTTCTTTGAGCAACTGTCATGGTCATGAAATGACTGCATTATTGAACTTTGCTTCATGCTTGGGAGCCATTTTAATATTTGTCAAAATAATATATTCTATGGATAAGGCCTTTTTCCTTGCATCAAGAATACAAGTAACCATCAATACGCTTATAAGGTTTCAAAAAATTTCATTTGCTAATTTCTTTGAGCAACTGTCATGGTCATAAAATGACTGCATTATATTATTTTAAGACTTATTTTAATACATAAACATGTTCTACATTCAAAAGGAAAGTTTTTTTTTAAATGTATCTTATTTTTCATATATCTTCCTCTTATAATGTAGACACATTATGTACTCTTGCTCTGTTCTTTTAAAAGAACAACTGCAACAACATGTTCGTGTGCATGCAATGGAAGCAGTAATGGCTTGCTGGGAGATTGAGCAATCCCTACAAAGCTTAACAGGTATATTCATTATTTATTCTTTCTAGATTTGTTCATTTCTCAGATTTCTTGTGTACTCCAATAGATTCCAGGTTTCCCCAGAATTTGAAATCCTTTTTTCCGTAGGCCAATTTTTACTTGCTTTCTTGTAATGATGTTGATTATCATAATAAACCTTTGAATCATACAGGAAAGTAAAGTTTTTCATAAACTACAGACAACCTCAAGATGCATTATGGTTAGGGGTGCAACTCGAGCAGGCTTAACCCGAACAACCCGTGCCCAGCCCGAGTTTTTTTAGGGCTTATGAAACAATACTTTGTAATCTGGACGGGCCTAGGTAGATTTTTAATGCCTAAATTGTAATTCGGACCGAGCCTGGGTAGAGTCAGTGGCTAACCCGAGCAACCCGAACCCAAATTACATTTAATATATTATATAAATTATATAATATATGTATAAGTTAAATAGCTAGCCCTTAATTTTTTTTTATTTTTTATTTTGGTGGTCTTTAGCCCTTGGATTAGCATCTTTTATTTGGACCATTAGATTAAAACTAAAAACAAAACCCTACCTTACCTATTCTTTCTTCCCTCTCTCTGAGACTCTCATTTCATTTCTTCATGAGAGTTGAAGAACGGCGAACGCCGACGACGCCGACGACGCCACGAACAACGACACCGCCACCCTTTCGATAAGCTTCCACGCCACACAAAATTGGTAGATCCCTCTCTTTGTTTGTATTTGTGCTTCAATTTGTCTATTTTTGGTCACTCGTCGTTCGATTACCACTCAAAACCGGTGATATTGATTTTAGAGGACTTTGGACTAATTCCTTTTGGATATGGTCGAAGAGCATTGTGAAATCAATCTGGGAGTTGCAACAGTAGAGCTTGCACTTGCCAATCGTCTTTACTCATTTGATTGGGAATTACCTGCTGGGATGAAAATTGAAGATATTAATACTAATATCAATCCTGGTCTCACAATGAATTAGAGAAATGCTCTTTGCCTAATGCCTAAGAACTACTCTGTTTGTTGTATGAAATAATAAAGTATTGTTTGTTGCCTCGTGAAATTTACTTTTATATGTAGTAGTGTTTGTGGCTATGATGATGTTTAAGTTTGTTGTATGGACTAATGGACTTATGTATATTATGAAGCACTGTTTGTTGTATGGAAAAATTCAGAAGCTGTGTTGTTGCCTTGTGAAATTCAGGCAATTCGGGCTAACTTGAGTTCAAATTATGAAGTTTTTGATCTATAAGTGAGTGGATGTATACATATTACCCCTACTCTCTTTGTTGTGTCGTGCTTAGTATCTAATCTTTTATTAAATGTCTTGTTTCTCAAATAATATTGTCATTTTCTACAAGTGCATATCTTGAGTTTTAGATCACTTTTTTGTTTTATTATTAAATTATTCTAGCTTAAGAAAGTTTGAAATCATTCATGCCTTGATGACTTATCTTGGCTTCTACAAGGGTATCAATATCTTTTGTAGCTTTATACTATTTGTGTGGAGAATCAAAATAATTATGTCATTTTTGGTGGCTGTGGGGAAAGGATTGGGGCAGTTTAACAACTGGATAAATTACATTATTTTTGGTGTGATCTAAATGTAAGTTTATAAATTAATTAGTAAGTTTATTCATATGCTTCTGGCGGTTTTTAAATTAATTTGTTTTTTTATTTTTCAGGTCAGAAATTTCTTGGAGAGATGCAAAATATGGTCAAAGAATTCAAGAACTTACTTTTTTCAAGTTTTTTATTTTTTATTTTTTAATGTATGTAATCACAGTTATTTTTTTTTTATTAATTTCTTTGTATATACTTTTAAACATTTAACTTTCATTTATGAAATATATGATATTATTTCATTCAATATGTGGTTGTGATTCAAAATATAGTATATAGTGTGTATTACATTATTCAAATGCGCGTGCAAAAATAACATTGATTATTCTTTAAATATGTCAATTTTTGTTTTTATTACAGGTTTTATTAGTTATTAATCACACTTAAAAGGTGTGATCTAAAGTTTTTAATCACACTTAAAAGGTGTGATCTAAATGTTTTTAACCACACTTAAAAGATGTGATGAAAACATTTTTTAATGACACTTAAAAAGTGTGATTAAAAATGATTTTAATAACACTTAAAAAGTGTGATTAAAAAACACCATTTTTAATCACACTCCTAAAGACCACACTTTAATAAAACTTAAAAAGTGTGATTAAAAATGACCATTTTTAATCACACTCCTAAAGACCACACTTTAATAAAACTTAAAAAGTGTGATTAAAAATGACCATTTTTAATCACACTCCTAAAGACCACACTTTAATAAAACTTAAAAAGTGTGATTAAAAATGACCATTTTTAATCACACTCCTAAAGACCACACTTTAATAAAACTTAAAAAGTGTGATTAAAAATGACCATTTTTAATCACACTCCTAAAGACCACACTTTAATAAAACTTAAAAAGTGTGATTAAAAATGACCATTTTTAATCACACTCCTAAAGACCACACTTTAATAAAACTTAAAAAGTGTGATTAAAAATGACCATTTTTAATCACACTCCTAAAGACCACACTTTAATAAAACTTAAAAAGTGTGATTAAAAATGACCATTTTTAATCACACTCCTAAAGACCACACTTTAATAAAACTTAAAAAGTGTGATTAAAAATGACCATTTTTAATCACACTCCTAAAGACCACACTTTAATAAAACTTAAAAAGTGTGATTAAAAATGACCATTTTTAATCACACTCCTAAAGACCACACTTTAATAAAACTTAAAAAGTGTGATTAAAAATGACCATTTTTAATCACACTCCTAAAGACCACACTTTAAAGAGTAACGCATCTGCAATTTGCCGATGACACAATACTGTTTTGTGAATCTGAGTGGGTGGAAGTGGTGACCATTAAAAAAATTCTCAGGGGGGGGGCGGGTGGGAAATCATAATAACAATAAGTAAAAAAGGAGACAATATTTGCCAATGTTAATTACCTTTGTACGAAATCCATACTTGGCTAAAAAATGTAACAGCAACAATAAATATTATCTTGTCAAACAATCATTCATTTATAAAATGTTTTACAACGGCATTGGTAGCACATCACTTTACAGAGGATGCTTTTAACATGAAAGCTAAGCAAACAAAGCTCAACTCTTTCTAAAACATGGCAGGAAGACTTTTTTTTTTTTGATCAACAAAAAAAGATTTGTTGATAAAAAAACCAAAATACAAGTAAAATTACAACAACAAAAGATTAAGGCCTTGTTTGGTTTATGTTTCTCAAAAAATTTTGGGAAAAATTCTCTACAAATAAGTTTTCAAAAGTAATCAAACCAAACAAATTTTCCCAAATTTTTTTTCCAAAACTTGTTTGGTTTACAAGTTTTCCAAACAAATCTCTCTCTCATACACATCAAATCAATCACTTTTTCCAAAACTCTCTCTCAAAATAATTTTTCAAAACATCTTTTGAAAAAAAACCAAACCAAACAAATTTTCGTACTTTTTATCTCAAAACATGTTTCTCAAATACAAACCAAACAAGCCCTAAAAGTGTGGAATATTGAAGTTTGTATCCTTAGTGGATGAAACTTGGTCAGAACTTCAGGTGGAGGATTGGGCTGGTTATCAATGTCTTAAGAAGTTTGAAGCCTTGAAACAAAGATTAAAAGTGTGGAATATTGAAGTTTTTGGGAAGATTGCATTTAAGCTCAAAGCTGTTGAAGAGGAAGCCCATGCTATTGAACTAATTGCTGATGAAAGAGCACTTCTGGAGAACGAACAAGCTAGAAGAAGAGAACTAATGGGGGAAATTTGGAGACTAAATAAAATGCTGGAATGGACGTGGCTACAAAAGTCAAGAATGAATTGGGCCTTAAAAGGAGATACAAATACAAGGTATTTTCACATAATGGCTTGTAACAGAAATAGCAGGAACTCTTTGTGTTCAGTGATGGTGAATGGTTTAATGGTTGAGGAACCCATGGAGGTTAGACATGTGATGATGACTCACTTCATGAATCACTTCTCTGAAATGTGGGCCATTTGGCCTAAATTATCCGACTAGTTCAAATATATTGGAGGAAGCTAAGCAGCGCATATGTTGGAAGCAGAGTTTTTAGAGAAGGAAGTTGGAAATGTTATCAAGAGCTGTGAAGGCAACAAAGCACCTGGGCCTAATGGATTTAATTTGGTCTTCTTTAAGAAATGTTGGGGAATAGTCAAACCTGAGGTGATGCATTTCTTTCGAGATTTTCACCAAAATGCTACACTGGTTTCTAGTTTAAATAGCTCTTTTATTGCTCTAATCCCAAAAGTGGATAGCCCATCAAGCTTGAGCGAATATAGGCTCATAAGTCTTATTAGCTCCTTGTACAAAATTCTGCCTAAAGTTTTGTCAAATTGGACGAAACAAGTGATGCCACAGATAATTAGCGAGGCTCAATCAGCATTTCTGGGGCGAAGGAATATTCTAGATGGGATCCTTATTGCAAACGAGATAGTTGATGGGTGGAGAAAATCAAACAAGGTTTGGTGTTGAAACTAGATTTTGTGAAGGCATATGATTCAGTCAATTGAGAATTCTTATTCAATATGTTATCCAATTTTGGATTTGGAGATAGATGGGAGAAATTGATGAAAACCTATGTAACCTCCATAAAAGTGTCGGTTCTAGTGAATGGTTCATCAACTTCAGAATTTTGCCTACAGTGTGGTCTACAGCAAGGCGACCCACTATCACCTTTCCTATTCAATATAGTGGCTAAGGGGTTGAATATTTTGTTTGATAGAGCCAAGGAAATGGGTTTAATCCAAGGAGCTGTCATTGGTAATGATGGGGTAAGAGTAACACATTTGCAATTTGCCGATGACACAATACTGTTTTGTGAATCTGAGTGGGTGGAAGTGGTGACCATTAAAAAAATTCTCAGGTGTTTTGAAATTCTTTCGGGGCTGAAGATTAACTATCATAAGAGTGTGATTGTTGGCATTGGAGTGAAGGAGGGACTGCTATATAGTTTTGCATCTAGACTAAATTGTGGACATCAGGGCTTGCCTTTAAAGTACCTTAGGTTACCTCTAGGAGCTAATCTTGGTAGGTTAAGCACTTGGAAGCCAGTCTTGGACAAATTTAAGCAGAAATTATCCACATGGAAGAGAAGGTTGCTTTCGTTTGCTGGGAGGCTGACCTTACTTAAATCTGTCATGAGCAACTTGCCAACTTACTATTTGTCACTGTTCAAAATACTAGTCGGGGTGGCAAACGAAATTGATAAAATTCAAGCTAATATTCTTTGGGAGGGAGGGGGGAGGATCAGACCTTAGAAGGAAAGTTCACATGGTTAGTTGGGACACTATTACCAATTGGGAGGTTTGGGAATCAGAAGAATCACTGATATGAATAAGTGCCTACTGCTGAAATGGTGGTGGAGGTTTGGGGCAGAGAATAAGTCTTTGTGGAAGGAAGTTATATGTTCAAAGTATAACATGGGGCGTGGAAGATGGCTGCCATATTTGGAAGGGAGCGTCAGAGGCTCAAAAATTTGGTCTGACATAATTAGTGCAGTTCCGTCTAAACCTGTCTTACACAATTTTTACCTTGAAAAATTTGCAATTGATTTGGGGAATGGTCGGAGAGCTCAATTTCGGAGGGATAAATGGGCAAGGGAGTTGTGTCTCAAGGATGAATTTCCCACACTCTTTTCTCTATCCACTACTAAAGATGGAGTAGTTTCTGATTTTTTTTACCAGTAGAGGAGGGCTTCAAAACTGGACTTTGGATTTTAGGAGATCTCTGTTGGCCTAGGAAGAGGAGGAGGTCAGTCAATTACATAATTTACTCAGGAATGTACCAGTAGTGAGGGTCTTCAGGTCTGATGTATAGAAGTGGTGAGCTGATCCTTTAGGGATGTATTCTGTTGCTTCAGGGTATAAAAGTTGTGAGTCATTATTGGGGCCTGATAGGAAATTGACAAGGGAAGTATTGAACAATTGTGCACCACCAAAAGTAAAATTCTTTGGGTGGTTAGCTTGGTTAGGCAAGGTGAAAACATCTAGCTTCCTTCAGAGAATTGGGATCTTAGATGAGGCTGCTAAAGTGTGTTGTGTGTTCTGTCAAAATGAGGTGGAAACTGTCAACCATATCTTACTTTTTTGTCCATTTGCCTAGTTGCTATGGTCTAAGATTATGAAGTGGTGGGGTTTTCAGTGGGCGATGCCAAACTCAGTAGAAGGGCTGTTGCAGTGGTGGTCATTTTGTAGAATGAAAATGCTATATAGATCTGTTATAACTAGAATGCCCATCTATTATGGACAAAATCTTGTGTTCTGCTGAGCTATCCACCAACAAGTCAACTATAGGCATGGGATATTCATCTTTTAGAGTTGCCAAATTTAGGTTTTTAAAATCGATGCATACCCTCGTTTTGCCGTTCTTCTTGACCACAGACACAATATTAGACAACCATTCAACATACCTGGTTGTTCTAATGAAGCCTGCTTTTAAGAGCCTAACAATCTCCTCTTTCACCTTTTGAACCACTTCAGGACTCATCCATTTTGGCTTTTGCTTGTGTGGCCTGAAATTAGGCTTCACAGGGAGCCTATGTTCCACCAATGATTTGTCTAATCCATGCGGTTCATTATAAGACCAAACAATCCTTATATTGTTTCAGGAAAACCAATAACTAGTCCCTATCATTAGGATCTAACCAAGCACTGATATA